AGGATCGGCACCTAACTGTGCAGGTTTTTGGACTTTTATCAAGGACATAGAGGCCAACATAATAACCACAACCACACCCCTTAACTCGATTCACCAAGGTATTCATCAATTTTTCTCAAAATCAATATATTTTCAATGTTGAATATGAAACGATGCGAGATGTATGAGAAATTAGTTTCAATTTAACCTAATTCTCATGCAATTTCTATAACAATCAAAACTATCATCCACCGATAGCCCATACTAATATTTCTACTTGATAGATAATTTCCAATCAAAAGATATAATTCTATCATTTTAAAATGGGAGTGATATTACATATTCTAGTCCACCACCATCATCAACATAACACTCTTCCAATCTTACAAAACCCAATATCTTTTCCTTTACTCCTATAAACCAAATAGCAATGATTCTCAAACAAAATCTCCTTTGTTCTTTAAAATCTCATTTAAGGAGTAAGTTTTCAAAATTCTAACACAACCCAACAATATGTACACTTCCACAACCTTTCTTAAGTATTTATTTGAAAAACCCCCTCTTTTATTTTTTAAAATCAAAAACTAGGTTTAATAATAAAAAAAACCCTCCAAATCACTAACTCTTTTCAAGGAGCAAATAACTAAGCTAGAAGACAAGAGAGAGCAAAGGCAAAAACTTGGCACAGTAGAAAACAATAACTCCTCCGATTAAAACGAAACCCCTGACGTGTTCTACCATTTTCTCAAAAGAGCTAGTGTGAAGAAATCAAATGATTGAGAGTATTTAGAGCTAGAATGTAAGAACCAAAGAGAGAGAGAGAGTGTGTGTGTGTGTGAAGATTTAGGGTTTTTAGAGAGAGAGAGAGAAGTGAAAAAGTGACTCAAAATGCCCTTCTCTCAGACTGATATACGCGCAAACCGTTTGAGCGACTAAAACGCTGCTCAAGCAACCAAAATCATAGCTCGAGCTTACAATGACCCCCTCCTAGAAGTTCAAACCTGTAAAAGACCGCTCGAGCGCAATAAAGACCGCTTGAGCGAAGATACCATACTTCCAATAGTTTTGCAGATTGTAAAAGACCGCTCAAACGTAAGAAAGACCGCTCGAGCGAACATGAAAAAATTTGGTAACAACTCTTTGAAAAACTAACTTTAAAGCTTGTTTCAAACACAATCACAACTCCCAAACAACCAAACTCAACTAGTAATAAGATGAAAATGAGATGAACAACAATTAAGGACATAAATTCTCAGATTCAAAAGCAAGAAATAGGTCAGGTCTAAACCAGAACCGTTGTAATATTAAAAGAAATTAGAGAAATCCATACCTCTTGGAGAAAAGAAGAGAAAATGAAGGAAAATCCCAAATTTTGGACTTGCCGAAATTTCTATTGCTCTAGTAAAAAACGATGCCCTCGACATGCTTGACACTTTAGTTCAAAGAACTAATGTCAAAATCTTCTTTGATTTGCCTAGATTGAGAGATTTGCAAGGGTTAATGGTTATTTTTAGAGAAAAATGAGAGAAAAGAGTTAAGAAAGAGAAAGAGGGCTGAGAGAAAAGAGAGAGATAATCAGATTTTGTGAGATAGGGCATGAAATTTGAGGTAGAAATGTGCTAGGCTGCACATGTGGAGCCTTTTCCCGCATGTACAGTGGCCCCCTCTACAAGTGCGGTAGCCCTTGGTCACACATTTGGTTTATTGCAGTAACAAACATCACCATTGCCCCATTTTTGCCTCACGTGTGGGCCTATCCCGCTTCACGTGCAGAGTCTCCATCCCAGAAACTTCATGTTGCCTGTACCAATCTACACGTGTGGGCCTAAATGCTGCACATGCGATAGTACCTACTCAATCACAATTATTCCCGAGGTGATTCTACATCTTTGTTTTTTGTCCTTATGCTCGAAACTCAAAAATTTCCAATTTGTAAACCCCTAAGAAAGGTTAGACATAGTTTGATTCACAATCATTACAACATTACATAGCACAAGGTTCTAAAAACAAAACAATAAGTTCAAAAAGTCACATTCAAATCTGGTCAACGATCCAAGACATCACAACCTCCCCACCTTAGGAAATTTAATCCCCAAAATTGAAATAATGCAATAGAAGAGAGAGATAATGAAAGCAATAACAACCTAATAACATTGAGTACTCGAATTAAAATTAAGTACCTTCGGATAAGTCTGGGTATTTGGAATAGACTTTCGCCTCTTGTTCTCATGTTACCACTTCTACATCATGGTGTTTCCACAACACCTTAATTAACGGAGTAGCTCTTTCTCTCAACGCTCGCTTCCTAAGGGTTCTAAGGTTTGAATTGGTCTCTCATCGTACAACATATTATCATAGATTTCTATGTTGGACCGATCTAACTCGTATGAATAGTCTGATCTACACTCCTTTAACATAAAGAAATGATGCACATTGTGGATCTCGGACAATCGTGGTGATAAGACAAGGTGGTGATAGGACAAGGTGATAAGCCACCCTTCTTACCTTCTCAATGGTGTCAAAATAGACCTGCATGAAGGTTTCTCGTTGCACCTTAATGATATTAAAATGTACATAGTTTTATTTGAATTTTCATTTATTTTTAGTGATTTTTTAAAATATTTTAACTAATTTATTTTACTCTTTAAATGTATCTTAATTAGATGCATCTAAAACTTTAAAAAAAAATGATTAAGATATAAAAAATTCATTAAAATTAAATAAAAACTCATCTAAAAATAATTTTAAAAAAAATCAAACCAAACAAATACACAATTTTTCAACCACCTTTATGATGTGATAAACTAGAAAAATTATATGGTACACATCTCAAAAGTTATGTACTATATGCATTTTTAGTTATAATCTTTATCTCTTCAGTTATGACATGTTATTAATTATCTCACATTGTAATGTTGATTATGACATTATTTTAGTTATGATTTAGGGGTTGTTTAGGATGTCTTGAATAAGTGCACTTTTTGACTTTTTAGACTAAAAAGTTGAGGAAAAAATATGATTGTTTGGGATAAATTTTTAACTTTTTACGAAAAAATGTGTATTAAAAAATTGTATAATTTGGTATACAGGAGAAAGTAGAGAAGAATAGGCAGTACGCTGGTAGAGCAGTGGGCAGACTAGCATATAGGATATGCTTGCCTCCTTTTTGGTCATTGAATTAGACGGTGATGTTCGGCCTATGGGGGCACACCACGGGTCTTGTTTTGGTAATCGGAATCGTTCAATGTGTAAAAATCGTCGAGTAATATATGCTTGTAAAAAATCACGTTGATCAGATATCGATAGCTATCTAATCGGTTTAGTTTTTTGTCAACTGTTAACTATAATACTATCTATTTTTTTTACAAAACTATTTTGATCATGTAGTTAGCGATATCCGATCAACGTGATTTTTTACAAGCATATAATACTCGACGAGTTCTGCACATTGAGCGGTTCAGATTATCAAAATGGGACCTGTGATGGGCCCCTACAAGCCGAACAACACCGTCCTTAAGCTTGCCTCCGCCTGTATAATTTGTTCTCAGGTAAAGAAACTCACGTCAGAGTGAGTTGTACTTTTTTTGTGGAAAAATAATTTTTTAATAATTTTTTTTAATGAATAATGATAACTTTGTAACTTTTTAGTAACTTTTTGACTTTTTGTCTTTTTTTTAAGGTGCCAAACCAAGCCTTAAAAATTATAATTCAATTTATTTTTTAATTATGACTTATATTGAGTTATGCCAAATCAAGATCAAACGATTTATTAAAAGGGCCAAGCTTGTATAATATTTGAGATCAAAATTAGATCGTTTAGTTTAGTTCATGGGTTCATTTTTAGGCACCGTTTCGATAATCTGAACTGTTCAATGTGTAGAAATCAATAATTAATACATTTTTGTAAAAAATTACATTGATCAGATATCGATAACTATTTGATCGGATCAAATTTCTATCAACCATTTATTTTTTTACTGTCCATTTTTTTATACAAATCTAATCCGATCAAATAGTTATTAATATTCTATTAACATAATTTTTTACAAATATATAATACTCGATGAGTTCTATATATCAAATTAGAGATGAGCACGGGTCGGTTGCGGCCACGAAACCTCCAATCTGCCATCCGTTCGCCAGCTTGGCGAATTGGAGAAAATCAATCCGCATCCGTCCGCCAATCCGGTGGATGTGGATTGAGCGAATTGGCGGTTTGACGGATGGATGCAAATTGGTTTGGCGGTTTAAAATTTTATAAATTTTTAACGTAATTCAATTTGTACACTTCTTAAAAAAAAAGAAAAAGAAGAAAGTATTACAGTTAATGACTTTACAAAACATTACAATCACTGCATGTCTCATCCAAAGCAAGAAAATTTGAAACTTTAGAATATCACAATCATAGCATGCCTCATCCACATAAAGTATTACAATCTGTGATTCTTAAAATATAAAAACAATTCAAACCAGTAAAGCCATGAACAAATCAGTAGTAGAGATTGTATATCTCTGTATTGTTACATTTATATCTGTTTTTAAAAACAAAAATTAACCAACATATATCATATTTTCTATTTATTATTCTTAGAGATAGATTTAAAAACCAAAAAATATAGATAAATAATACGTTTATTTTTTCAATTCAAAAAAATATTCAAGTTGAAAACTTTTTTTTGACAGAATATTTAAATTCTTTTTTAATTAAAAACACAAACAAAATATTTAAACAAACTGAAAACACAAAGTCTTACAAATTACTAGGGGTGTTCGCGGTTTGGTGGTTCGGTTGCGGCCAACAGAATCTCAAATCCGCCATCCATCCTCCAGATTGACAAATTGAAAAAAATTAATACACAACCGTTCGCTCATCATCACACATCCGTTCAAAATGTGACAAATTAATTCGATTCGATCGGTTTTTTTTAACGAATCCATATATCGACTGTTCACCTGTATCAAATAACTCGAGTTATTAAAGAGAGTCCGAAAATACACTCATAGATTGCACTAAACGATCCAGTCAGGATCTCAAACCAGCTGGACCCTAAATTTATTTTATAGGGTCCCGTATCCTTCTCTTCTCTTTTACAACCCTCGTATAGGCCCGTCTCATTTGGCGAAATTGAACCTACTATCTCTTTCCCGTCTGCGATCTGTATGTCCTGCGACAGAGAAAAAGAGTCAAATCTCTTTCTCGTTTCTTCTCAGGCACGCCATTTCTCTCTCTCTCTCTCTAAATTCGATCTTTGATATCATTGTTGTTAAACGGAGACCCATTTCAATGCAAAGTGCTTTGCAATTTAGGGTTCTTTAGTCGATTTTGATCATGATTCAGCAGAATGATATAAATATAATTTCTGTATTAATTCTAATCAGAATTCTGGAAATCTTGTAAAGATTACAATTGGTCACTGAACATGATATTTTTCTTATTTATTGCAATCAGATTCTCAAAATCCTGTGAAAGATTTAACTTTGCACTGAACCGATTTTGATCTCATACTTGTATCGTCTTTTCAGACTATAGTTCTGCACTGAGCAGTTGAAATTCTGCAGCAGAAGCAACGGGGTTTTTTTTTTGGTGGATTTTACTATGAAGAAAAGTGAGCGTGTTGCTAACATTGCTCTAGCAGGTTTGTTACTTCATCCCATTCTGATGATAATTGCTAAAATTTTAGATGTGAAATGGTGGCTTTAGGGTCCAGAAATGGGAGTAAGGCCTTGCTGTCCCCGGATCCTGCTTTCGTGGGAGCCTTGTACACTATGTTGCCCTTTGTGATGCTTTGTTTCTGTTTATTTTGCATTGATTTTATGCGGCAATTGTTCTTGCGTTTGCAAGTTTCTGGGTGAAATTTCATGTTGGGGAACATTTCTATAATCACTACTTGATGGGAGAGTTCTAGAGATATGATTTATACCTATCACCAACATTCTATGGAGTAACAATGTTCCCTTATCCCTACATGTTGAAGATTGCCTTTTCAAATATGTATACATACACACATATCTCTACATTGAACGATTCAGATTATCAAAACGGGACCCGTGATGGGCCCCCACAAGTCGAACAACATCGTCCTTAAGCTTGCTTCCGCCTGTATAATTTGTTCTCAGGTAAAGAAACTCACGTCAGAGTGAGTTGTACCTTTTTTGTGGAAAAATAATTTTTTAATAATTTTTTTTTAGTGAATAATGATAACTTTGTAATTTTTTAGTAACTTTTTGATTTTTTGTCTTTTTTTTAAGGTGCCACACCAAGCCTTAAAAATTATAATTCAATTTATTTTTTAATTATGACTTATATTGAGTTATACCAAATCAAGATCAAACAATTTATTAAAAGGGTTAAGCTTGTCTAATATTTGAGATCAAAATTAGATCGTTTAGTTTAGTTCATGGGTTCATTTTTAGGCACCGTTTCGATAATCTAAACTGTTCAATGTGTAGAAATCAATAATTAATACATTTTTGTAAAAAATTACATTGATCAAATATCGATAACTATTTGATCGGATCAAATTTCTATCAACCGTTTATTTTTTTACTGTCCATTTTTTTATACAAATCTAATCCGATCAAATAGTTATCAATATTCTATTAACATAATTTTTTACAAATATATAATACTCGATGAGTTCTATATATCAAATTAGAGGTGAGCACGGGTCGGTTGCGGCCACGAAACCTCCAATCCGCCATCCGGCCGCCAGCTTGGCGGATTGAAAAAAATCAATCTGCATTCGTCCGCCAATCCGGCGGATGTGGATTGAGCGGATTGGCGGTTTGGCGGATGGATGCGAATCGGTTTGGCGGTTTAAAATTTTATAAATTTTTAACATAATTCAATTTGTACACTTCTTAAAAAAAAAGAAAAATAAGAAAGTATTACAGTTAATGACTTTAAAAAATATTACAATCACTGCATGTCTCATCCAAAGCAAGAAAATTTGAAACTTTAGAATATCACAATCACAGCATGCCTCATCCACATAAAGTATTATAATCTGTGGTTCTTAAAATATAAAAACAATTCAAACCAGTAAAGCCATGAACAAATTAGTAGTAGAGATTGTATGTCTCTATATTGTTACATCTATATCTGTTTTTGAAAACAAAAACCAACCAACATATATCATATTTTTTATTTATTATTCTTAGAGATAGATTTAAAAACCAAGAAATATAGATAAATAATACGTTTATTTTTTCAATTCAAAAAAATATTCAAGTTGAAAACTTTTTTTTGACAGAATATTTAAATTCTTTTTTAATTAAAAACACAAACAAAATATTTAAACAAACTGAAAACACAAAGTCTTACAAATTACTAGGGGTGTTCGCGGTTTGGTGGTTCGGTTGCGGCCAACAGAATCTCAAATCCGCCATCCATCCTCCAGATTGACAAATTGAAAAAAATTAATACACAACCGTTCGCTCATCATCACACATCCGTTCAAAATGTGACAAATTAATTCGATTCGATCGGTTTTTTTTAACGAATCCATATATCGACTGTTCACCTGTATCAAATAACTCGAGTTATTAAAGAGAGTCCGAAAATACACTCATAGATTGCACTAAACGATCCAGTCAGGATCTCAAACCAGCTGGACCCTAAATTTATTTTATAGGGTCCCGTATCCTTCTCTTCTCTTTTACAACCCTCGTATAGGCCCGTCTCATTTGGCGAAATTGAACCTACTATCTCTTTCCCGTCTGCGATCTGTATGTCCTGCGACAGAGAAAAAGAGTCAAATCTCTTTCTCGTTTCTTCTCAGGCACGCCATTTCTCTCTCTCTCTCTCTAAATTCGATCTTTGATATCATTGTTGTTAAACGGAGACCCATTTCAATGCAAAGTGCTTTGCAATTTAGGGTTCTTTAGTCGATTTTGATCATGATTCAGCAGAATGATATAAATATAATTTCTGTATTAATTCTAATCAGAATTCTGGAAATCTTGTAAAGATTACAATTGGTCACTGAACATGATATTTTTCTTATTTATTGCAATCAGATTCTCAAAATCCTGTGAAAGATTTAACTTTGCACTGAACCGATTTTGATCTCATACTTGTATCGTCTTTTCAGACTATAGTTCTGCACTGAGCAGTTGAAATTCTGCAGCAGAAGCAACGGGGTTTTTTTTTTGGTGGATTTTACTATGAAGAAAAGTGAGCGTGTTGCTAACATTGCTCTAGCAGGTTTGTTACTTCATCCCATTCTGATGATAATTGCTAAAATTTTAGATGTGAAATGGTGGCTTTAGGGTCCAGAAATGGGAGTAAGGCCTTGCTGTCCCCGGATCCTGCTTTCGTGGGAGCCTTGTACACTATGTTGCCCTTTGTGATGCTTTGTTTCTGTTTATTTTGCATTGATTTTATGCGGCAATTGTTCTTGCGTTTGCAAGTTTCTGGGTGAAATTTCATGTTGGGGAACATTTCTATAATCACTACTTGATGGGAGAGTTCTAGAGATATGATTTATACCTATCACCAACATTCTATGGAGTAACAATGTTCCCTTATCCCTACATGTTGAAGATTGCCTTTTCAAATATGTATACATACACACATATCTCTGTATTTATCCTTGCTGATATTCCAGTGATCAAGCTGCCGTGTTCTGCACGTTCTATGGAGCTTGTGCGCTCTCTACTTGGTCTTGTTTTATTATTTGCATATTCAAATTACTATTCAAATTACTTTTTCGTTATTTTTGCTTTTGTTTTGGGATTGAGAAAGGTAAATTCCTTTGGACTAAAAGATATAGGGTAAATTACAGTAAACCCCCCTTAGCTGAGACCTGTTTTTTAGTTAACCCCTTAATGTTTAAAACTCGACACTCAACCCCTTTCAAGTACACATCTGATTACACTAAACCCCTTCCGCTAACAAACCGTTAGGGTTTTGGATGGAAAATGTTACATGAGCAACACATGACATGGTAATTGATGTTTTTTGAAAAAAATACCCTTCATTTTTTTGTCTTAAACTTGACACCGAAAACATGACCTCATGTATGTTATGTATATATATATAAATGTATGTTATGTATGTATCCATCAATCTCCAAGAGCATTTTTGTGAAATTGATTCAACTTGTGGTGAAAACTCACAAAAGGCACGAACTCTGTTGTGAATTTTTTCATGAAATTCATCCAGGTGAGAAATATATATATATATATAAGTCTTTCCTCACAACTCTCACCAATGTGGCCACCGCAAACTGCAAGCCACCGCTGCCAACCACACGCAACCCATTGCCTTCCACCACCATAACCGGCCTACGCCCTCACAGCCCACAGCCCCCTTCCTCCATCACATTCACCACCATGGTATAATCCAATATCTCATTCAATTGACAATTTCAGTGGCGTATATGGAGGAACAAATCTAAATTGTGATAGATCTATTGTAGTTGAAGATGATTTTTTGGTGGGTCCTTCATTGTGTGGTATGTATATATGTCCATAAAAATGTGTGCTCGTGTGAATATAAAGATGGATTGGAAAAGTGTGATGATGCTTGTGTATTGTTCATTGGAACCTTAGAGATGAACATAAAAAGATCAATTGATCTGTGGCAGTTGATAATTGGGGAAGAAAAAATATGGGTATGGAATTGATGGTGATGGGTATGGGTTGGTACAAGATGTGAGAAATGGGGAAGAGGAGGTGGTGTTTGTTGGCAGGTGAGGGGAAAGGGGATTTAGAGGTAATGGGCGGTGGGTGGGGAAAGAAGGCATATGGTGGGTTTTTGTTTTTTTATTTTTCATTTTTCATTTTTTTTGTTGAGAGAGAGAAACTAGGTGGGTTGAGGAAGACAATGGGGAAGTAGGGGTAAAAAGGTAAGTTCATGTTTTCTGTTAATAGTGTTAATAGCATTTGTATTTTATATACTTGAAAGGGCTGAGTGTTGAGTTTTAAACATTAGGGGGCAACTTAAAAATGGGTCATAGTTAAGGGGTTTATTGTAATTTGCCCAAATATTTAATGTGCATGTCGCTTTCTTTTTTATGGAACAATAATAAATTTGTTGTTGTTGAGGGAAAGATCGAACTTGCTTGATGATGAAGAAATGAACTAAGAGAATGCTTAGGTGAGCTAGATCTTAGAAAAATAATGTCCAACTGTGCTAGATCTTTGGTATGGAATGTCTAATCGAGCTAGGTTTTTCATACATCATGCATAGTGAGTATGAGATTTTGATACAAAATGCCTAGCCAAGTTAGGTTTCATAAAGAGTGCCTAGTTGATAAATAATGTCTAGCCTAGCTAGGTCTTACTCCTAGAATGCTTAGTTGAGCAAGGCTTGACAAGCAGCTAATAGCTAGGGATGTAATCGGTTCGGTGCGGTCGGTATTTAGGTAAAAATTTTCACCGAACTGATAATGTCAGTTTTATTATTTTGAGTACTGATACAAGCTGCTTCTCCCATCAAACCGCACCGTACCGTACCGATTGAAACGGTTTGGTTTAGTGCGGTTTAATCGGTTTAGGACCTTTCAAACTTGAGCCACTTTTTAGTATAGTTACTAATCTATATAAAAACATTGAATTAGTTATTTGTCGACCACTTCAAACATATTCAATCCATCTGTTTAATGAATACTTTTCAATTTTTAGATTAACAAAAATACAAACAAAAAAAAAGTTAAAAATACTAAGGTTTCAAGAATAATGAGTTAAGAGTTAATATTATATACAATAAGAGTTTACAAACTTAAGTTATAGAGATGATAAGGTTAATAATTTATTGTACTTATTAATATTATTATATTATTAGATTATATATATTATAAATACAATATATGTTGAAGCGGTTCGATTTAGTTCGGTGTACAAAGTGCTTGAACAGATACTGAACCGAAAATAAAAAAGATTAAATTAGAAATTATATAGACTGATTCTTGTTAAAAAACATACCAAATATAACTGATTCGGTTGGATTCAATCAGTTTGGTTAGTTTTTTCGATTTTTCTTACATCCCTAAATATAGCAGCGCTTGGGTCCATCCCATCCTTTACAACTTGTAGGTCAATCCAGCGCTGCTTGGGTCCATCTGCCCTTTATCCAACCCTACTTGGGTCCATCCAACCCTTTACAGTTTGTGGGCCAATCTAAACTTGAGTTCATCCAACTCTTAACAATTTGGCCAATCCAGCCTACTTGGTTCCATCGAACTAGGGTTGTTAAAAACTCTGCCTGACTTGCCCAATGTGACCGACGCATAACGGACGATTTTGATAACAGTTTATGTCTGTGGTGGATTAAAATTCTGCATTTTCTTGGTTTGGTGGTTGGATGTTGAGTAAGTGATTCAAAAAATTGTTCCACTTGACCCGACCATAGTACAAAGATAATTTTTTTTATGTCTACGTGTCTTGCTCTAATGAGATTAAGAGATTAGATTTAATCTTGAACTCTTTCTTATCTCACGTAATAATGACCTAGAAATCTATAACCTAGAGATCTACAATTATAATTTAGAGATCTATTACTTACAATGATAACCTAAAGATCTACAATTCAACCTACAGCTCAAGAGTCCTACAACTCAAGAGTCTGTATAATCGAAAAAAAGAAAACTCAACAGTCTGTAGACCCTTCATCCGTCTTTTCTCTTTCTTTCTCTCTTCTTATTATCCCCAAAGTCATCTGTCTCCCTCTTCCCTTCCCCATCTCTCTCTCTCTCTCTCTCTCTTAGTTTGCAAAAGACACAAGGATGATCAACATTGCTGCTGCCCCTCTATCTTGGCTTCGCCATCTCCGCCGTTGCCTTCACCTTCTCCTCTGCTGCAACTGTATTCTCCTTTTTTGCTGCCGCAGCTTTGCGGAAGCCCTTGCAAAGAGAAACCCTAGCCCCTTCGGCTCTCTACTTTGCCAATCGCCTTACTTTGTTTTGCTACCATGGCCAACTTGGAAGCATGGATATGGATACGATATAGATATGGCGATACGACAAAATCTAAAAAAATAGGATATCGGTACGATTATGATACGTTTTTGAAAAATATATTTTTTAAAATTATTAGTAGCGAGTTACACATAAGTTGAAGAATGTTGAGAAACCACAATATAATTTTGTAATGCAAAATACTAATATTTGAGAATTAGTTATTAATTTAAGCTCGTAGCTTGTTTAACTTTTAAATTTTCAATAGGTCTTGCAAATATTTCATTTCAATATCAAATCAAATAATAGAACAATTCATAACTTATCCCTGTACTTTTCCATTTGGCACTTGTAAAAAAGGTCGTATTCAAAATTTATCACAAAAAAAAAATAAAAAAAATGTTATATTTAAGTTTACTATCTTATTTATTTAATATTGTTATATTCTCTTGTTAATCCTTACTTTCTATGTATTTATGGTGGACATGCATAAAATAATTAGGATACATCAATTTAACAAATTTTATTATTTAACTCACTATGTTCTTCATATCAAGGAACTAAATAAACTATTAGAAAAATATTCTTAAATTTATCCTTACAATTATATTATATTATAATACTTTTCCATTTGGCACTTGTAAAAAAGGTCGTATTCAAAATTTATCACAAAAAAAAAATAAAAAAAATGTTATATTTAAGTTTACGATCTTATTTATTTAATATTGTTATATTCTCTTGTTAATCCTTACTTTCTATGTATTTATGGTGGACATGCATAAAACAATTAGGATACATCAATTTAACAAATTCTATTATTTAACTTACTATGTTCTTCATATCAAGGAACTAAATAAACTATTAGAAAAATATTTTTAAATTTATCCTTGCAATTATATTATATTATAATACTATGTAAGAAATGCTACAATTCTAATTTCGTAAAACAAATAATACATGACTTGGAATATCCAATACTTCAAAATTAAGTATCCGATACTCTAAAACTAATAAAAATTAATTAAGGAATATCCGATAGTTTTAACAAGTATCTGATATGTATCCGTGAGTATCCAAGGAGTATCGGTATCCGATACGGTCCCGTCACCCTATTTGAAGTATCCGTGCTTCATAGATGGCCAACATCGAACCTCCTCTTTCTCTCACCACTTTCCTCTGAAAGTCCCACTGTAAAATTATTTTCAATTTGATTCATGAATGGGTTCCAAATTTTTTTTTTTAATTCTTGCAATTTTTTGTTCTTCAAAAATGTTGGGATTTTTTTTTTCTATCGAAAGATACTGAAAGGGTTAGGAATGACGATGAGTGGTTGGTTTCGTCTACTGACCAAAAACTTTTGAACCCTGTTTGTTTGGTTTCAAATATGCAGTGGGTTGAAATTGGGTAGTTCATTTTTCAACCCGATCCGATCCAACATGTGAACACCCCTACATCAAACCCTTTATAACTTGTGGGCTAATCTAGCTCTTTGTGAGTCAACCAAAGATGTTAGGTATGAGTGGAACACAACGAATACTAGGTTGATGCATGACATCCATTTCAAGTGATCTTGTTAGTGGGTTCCTCTTTCATGGTGGTGAAAACTTTCACGAGTTTTCCTGTTCGGCCGAGCTTTTCTCTTGCGGTGGCTTGCCATTGATATTGTATAAAGTGAAGTGCTACAATTGTTTGATGATACCAATGCGGTGGCTGTGATGAGCAAGATGAGAGACCTGCTCAACTTCTTACTAGTTCAATGAAGAAAACTGAGCTTACTCTTTAATTGTCCACATTTAATAGAGGACTGTTTTGTGAGTGAATCTTTGATGTTTGGGATAGCGTGTGAGCAATATTGCGTTGAACAATTTTTTTGATCAAGGCTCTGCTCACGAGGGAAATTGATGACTCAATGTTGACTTGATGAGGTAGCTAGTTCAACTCGATTAGCTAGAACCTAAAAAATGTGGACATGGACACAACACATGCAAACACAAATTTAAAAAAAAAAAAAATACAAGACATGGCATGAGGTTACACATGAAAAATATAAAATTAATATATTTATTATATGTACATTTGAATAGTATATATTTATTCTTTGTCACATTTATACTCGTCAAATTCATCCACTTTGGCTCTGATGATTATTTATTTATTTATTTATTTTTAAATTAAAAAAAGGCACTGCGTGTCCCTAGTGTGTTTGATTGAAAAAATGGACACTTCTTCTAGTGTGTTTGACGCATGTTTGTGTTTGACATTTGAAAAAGTTTAATTTTTGCATTCCTTTAACTTCATGTTTAAATGGAGTGCGCTGCTTTTTGTTGGTTGTCTCTTAATTCTTAATATATTGGTCATCAGGATTCACTCTTACCATTTCAGTAAAGAGAGTGCCTTCCAAGTTCCGTTTTCTGCTTCGAGTAACTCTTTGGGCATGTTTGGTTTGTCTCTCAACATTTTTTTGGAGAAAAAATTCCAAAAACATGTTTGGTTGAAATTTAAAAAAAAAAAAAAAATTCCAAAATCACTTTTTTTTCTCTCTTACAACATCAATCAATTACTTTTTTTCTCTCCTCACTCAATCATTTTTTCTCTCACACCCCTATTCAACTACAAAAAAACTATAAAATCATTCCAAGCTCCAAAACTCCAAAATTATTTTCAAAATATACAACCAAACAAATTTTCAAATTTTCTAAACTCTTTCCAAAAATTTATTTTTGAAATAATATCTCAAAAACACAAATCAAACGAGGCCTTTATTTTTTTCACTCAATCAATTTTGCACAAAATAGGACCTGAGTTACCATGATGTCCCCAAATGACTGTTTAAATGGTGGAGCTGTTGTTTTTTATAGGTTTGAAGTGAACTGTTTCTGAAAAATCACATTTGTTTGAGGTGACTGGTCATGTGTGTAAGAATTAATTTTTGGAACACAAAAAGGTGTTCCTTGAGATGATCTGTTGTATCAGGTAGGTAAATGAACCCCTTCCTGTAGATATCTTTTTCTGTATTAATGTTGGGGATGATATTAGTCTTCGCTGAGGTGTCAATTGGCTATTGTGTAAAGATTCTCTCTCTCTCTCTCTCTCTCTCATGTGCTCGTGTTAAGAGTGATTCCCCCAAAACCAGTAGTGCACTAACATGATCCTAAATTGTTTCTGTTCCCTGAGCAGCTGGACTAGTTGTCATCTTTCTTGCAAGAGATATGCCACCTGGTGGCACAGTAACACTTCTGATTCTATGTGAGTCAAGTGCAACTAATAGATGTAAAATTCTTTAGTTCCCAATTCCACCATTGATGTTCAATGCAAAGTTACTAGTCAAAGACTACATTTTTAGGGAGTGTGCACAATATTGTTTACGAATAATTCATTATGTTTCATTCGTTATGTGGTAGTGCCTTTGTTGTCTCACATTCTGAGCAGTGTGCTTTGTTATTTATATGTATTATATATGGCTGCAGGTTTAAGTTTGGCACCATTGGTTGTAAATGTAAATCCAAATTTAAATGTCATCTTGACTGCTTGCCTCACAGTATATGTGGGTTGCTACCGCTCAGTCAAGCCAACTCCACCTTCAGTAAGTACAGCATACAGTCCATTTTGCACCATGTCTTAAGTTGTACATTTTTCTTCCTTTCAATCTAGATTAATTTTGCTCAATTCTGACATCTTTAATCTGCAGGAGACAATGTCTAATGAACATGCTATGCGCTTCCCTTTGGTTGGGAGTGCAATGCTGTTATCGCTGTTCTTGCTTTTTAAGTTTTTGTCAAAAGACTTGGTTAATGCTGTTCTGACGTGCTACTTCTTTGTACTTGGGATTGTCGCTCTTTCGTATGTTCTTTCCGTATGGGCCATTCTACTATGCTTAATATCTGTTGCAAGTTGTTGCTTTAAGGTGATTTGTCTGCATCATTAACTGACATTTTATTATTTTTTTTAAATTTCACCTTTTGCAGGGCGACACTGTTACCTGCAATCAGTCGTTTTTTGCCTAAGCATTGGAATGAGGACCTAATAATCTGGCGTTTCCCATATTTCCGTTGTATGTGGCACCCTCATTTTCCTTTCCTTTTTCAATGTTTATTTTAGAATGCTCTTTCTTTCTACTTTTTTTCTTTTTTGAGACAATGTTGTGTTCCTTTATGTGCAATGCTGTTTTCTCTTCTGTAGCACAGTCAACTTTAAACTTTCCAATTAAGATTTTTTTTTTCTCCTTCTTATTGATGTGTCATTCAACAGTGATATGCTGCAATGAGTTAGTGTGTAGTAGTAGCTGTCCCATCTCGGAATTGATAAGTCTTGTTCCTGGCTGGACTATGTTCTAAGCCTGCATTGACATGGACATGCATCAAATTGGGTTCTGAATTTGCAATTGATATGCCATGGAGTCAAAATTTCATTTTAGTCTATTGTTTCAAGGGTTATTTACACGAAGACCCCCTAAACTATTAAGAAGTATCACTCTGATCCCCTAAACTATAAAAGCATACAAATGGACTTCTTAAACTATTGAGAAGTATCACTTTGCCATCTAAATTATAAAAGAGTACAGATGTCTTTAAATTATAAAAAAACGTACAAATTGGACCGTTAACGGTAGGGGTCAAAGTGAAAAACGGCAATAGTTTAGGGGGTCTATTCGTACGTTTTTATAGTTTAGGAGGCAAAGTGATACTTCTCAATAGTTAGGGGGTCCATTTGAATTCTTTTAAAATTTAGGGGGTCAAAGTGATACTTCTCAATAGTTTAGGGGGTCTGTGTGTAACTAACCCTTGTTTCAATTAAGCATGGAAATATAAACGTTTTGGAAATGATTTGGAATTGATTCAGAAATGTTTTAGAAATAACAAAAAGAATTTGAAAATGTATAGAAATGTAAGGAAACATAAATTGAAATCTATTAAAACATATAAAAATATTACAATTGATTAATTAAACATATCGATAGTCATATATGTTTGCATTAAAGAACGTAAAATCAAAATATCAAAATTGATATTAACCAGAACTTGTTAAATATTAACTCAATTTCATTAACAGAAGTGCAAATGATTCTAAAAGTGTGCAAGTTACTAACAAATAAGGCTAAAAGTTTACTTAAACAATAGTAATAATAATATTATTATATGGCTCTTGTTAACGAGTGCCCCAAGGGCGTTGGTTAACAAAACTTAAAATAGTTGTACATTCTTTATGACACACACTTTCATAAAGAAAGCACATCCATTGTAAGCTTGTTAACAAGTGCTCCTAGGGCACTCATTAACAAAATTTTTGTTATATTACTAATTCTAGTTTTTATTAATATAGTAAAAAATACGACCTTTAAATTTTTTGAAATCCTTTATTAAAATTCTAAATTTCTGTTGATATAACTTATTTCTTTGATATGTTGTGTTGTGTTTTGGTGTGTTTCATTATGTTCTAATTTGTTTTGATGGGAACACTAGAATTTCATTATTTTACTGATGTTTCCTTTTAGTCTCCTAGGAAATGGAAACGTTTTGATGGAAAAAAATGGCAATTTTTTCCTTGGATATGCCATAAATTTTTTATCCTATTTAGCTCAATACTCTGTTGAATTTTATGCGTCTTACGTCTTACGTCCCATTTTTTTGAAGTCTTAAAAAGTTAAAAATATGAATCATCACTTTCCATATTATCCTTCTCTAAATTTATGGGTTTAAATAGCATCCTAATTCCCTAAAAAATCATTTAAATAAAAAAAAGGATATTTTTGTTAATTTATTATTCAAAAGTGTTTTTCTAAAACTATTGCATGGTTAGCTAAGATACAAAAAATGGAATAGAATGAGCTATAGTTTTAAAGGGAAAAGTGGTTGCTTGACAAACCATTTCTACTTGATTATGAAAAGATTACCATTTCATTAATGGCTGACTTGGGCTTGGAGTGGAAGGACTAAGAGGGTGAGATTTGAATGAAGGTCAATATTACCTGTCACCTATGTTATGAAAATCTTATGATTTGTGATTCTATTCATGATTTCATTTGTGATTCATGTGTAAATTGATACGAATCTGTGGGTGAATTTATTTTGGGATAGAATTTATAGTGAATCATATGATTCACAATTGATTCATGAATCGATTCAATTTTTATGATTCATACAATTTTTGAAACTATCGTGTTTGACAGATTTGACCCTCTTTTACATCTTTGAATAAAGAAAATGACATAATACAATTTCTAATAGTGTTTAGTATAAAAATAACCAAAAACTTATGCATGATTTGTTGTTATTTAACCGTTTCATAATACAGTTTCCAAGGATGTTTAAAGATTGTACTTATGAATTATGTATTGCTGTTTTAGTGAAATAAAGTAAGATCCAATGGTTCCATGGCTCTTTTTTTTTTTTTTTTTTTTGGGTTGCCGGCTCTTTTTTCATGGGCCCTTTTACTTTTGTTACATGGGTCCTTTTTGTGGACTTGATTTTTTTATTTTTTTTTATTTTTATTTTTTTTAAGGGTCATGAGTAAAGTCTAAGATGTTAGGAGAGATTATATTATGAGCTTTGAATAGTCTTATGTTTGTAGGATTTGGACCCACATCTCTTATTATAACGGAAATCCTTTTCCAACTAGACTATGTAATCATTTTCTTAAATAAACACTATTTATAAATGTGCCAAAATCAATTTATTTCATTTTTTTTTTCATATATATGTATATAACAGTTAAACATAATTTAAAAAATAATTTTTTATAGTTTGTTGGTCTTGAATCCAAACGATTGTCGATTTGATTTGATTCACAATCCGCAATTCGATTAATGATGTGATTCTCAATTTGACAACTATGTCTGTCACAGTTAACATACTAGTTAAGATGACATCCTTACATAATATTATCACTGCATGATGATTTTTGGTGAGGTTTTATGCAAGGTGGCTCACTTATGTATGCGTAATTGCGTGTTGATTTCTACAATCCTACTTCACATTGGTTGCTACTGATCTAGTGAAATTGAAAGAGCAACAGGGGTTTCTTTTTTTTTTTAATTTTTTTAATTTATAAATAACAATGATTTCTTCAATGTCCTTCATCAACTTGTACAAACACTCTTTTTTCGGATCATAGAATCAAGATCCCACGTGGGATCGATGGAAGGGACTCGTGGATCAGATCATAAAATCGGATCGAGAATCGTAAGATTCTACTTTCAATGTAAAATAAGATGAAAAATTATCGATAATGATAATATATGTTACGTAATTTTAAAAAGATTAAAGAAAAATGATAAATTTGATATAATACATCTTTTATGTTAACATTGATTAGAAGAGACATTTGAAAAAAGTGTTTATAGTCAAAATTTTTATATAGATAAACACATACACACACATATATACAAGAAATAAATAATAAGAAAAAAAATTCTTAGGATCAGGTTCATAGTAGAATCGGGATCGTATGCGATTCTACACGATTTTATGAATAGGATCGTAGTAACTTTAAGATCTTACTAAATTTAAGATCCTAGTGTGATCCGGATCATTTGGCACAACTAAAATCGTGGAATCATAAGATCCTACGATCTGGATCGGGATTTTGATAACTATGTTCTCAAGCTATACGTGCTTCTATTTTTCTAAGATGTAATATACACTTGTAGATATTTTCCAGGAAAGCTTGGTGGTAGTCTGCCTCATGCTTTTATCCTATTGGTGTGGTTCTCTACTTCGGTTTTTGGTTTATCTTTATTGCATGGTTTTAACAACTAAGTCTGGGTTGACTTGAGTTAACATTTTTCTTCTGGTAAAATATGTGTGTCAACCTTTGAATGAATGCAATCTCTTTGTTTCCTGCTTTTCTTGGTTTTCATATGATGCAGTCAACAGTATCTTGCTTGTAATATGCAGAATGATGTCTTTCTTTGCATATTTCTTCCGCAGCTTTGGAGGTTGAGTTCACAAGGTCTCAGATTGTTGCAGCTATCCCTGGAACCTTTTTCTGTGCGTGGTATGCTTCACAGAAGCATTGGCTGGCTAACAATATATTGGGCCTTGCATTTTGCGTTCAGGTTCGATTAAAATCTTGAAATAATGCGTCATTTGTAGCATCTCAATTGTTGACATTCTGTGACCGTGACCTCATTTGACTTTTCAATTGCTCGAGGATTCCTTTATTGAACTTTCTGGAAGCTTTACTAAACTCCACCTCAATCATGCGTTGTAATGCTTTACTTCTTAACTTGATGACATCATGCTCTGTGTTTGTTAAAAGTTTTGTCGAGTCAACTTTGTATATATCCGCAATTATTTGCTCTTTACAATTAGTGCGTGGCTTTTTTCTAGTTATTACTTTTTGTTAGAATATAATATGTAAAATGTTGCTTTAATAATTAGGTTAGTATAATAATTAGTATGCTTTAATAATGTACCTTTAATAATGTTGTTTGGTTTGTGCTTCTACTTTCGGTTTGTAATTGTTCTCCCTCTCCTCTATAAAGGAGAGAGCTCAACACACTACAACATACATCAATCAATAATACATCAATTTCAACACTTTTTAGTCATATAACATTGCGTTCTACCTCATATTAGTGATCCATTTTAATCTTGGTGATCTCACTCAAAGAGAAGCTGTCTCTATATTTTGATACTGTATAACAAGCTTATACCTACAAGCACGTTTAATGGGTCTCAATTAGGTTCGTAGTCAGTTGAAGTAATATCTGTGACTTTTCCTCTTTTGTTCTGAGTAAAGAAGTATTTGTTGGTTTTTTATGGCTATTTGGATTTGAGGTTTTTAAGTGTGAGAGGAAGTCTGTGCAAATCGTGAAGTTGGTATTGGAAGATGTGGACACCAATAATCAACTTATTTATCACTAAAAAGAAAAAGAAAAAAGTTCAAAGAGAATAGTGAAATTCAACATATAGATGAATTATTTTTTGCTATTGAATTGACGCACTCTTAACATTTACCCTAAATTATCATTTCAAGTGTCCCACATTAGGTGGGCTGCATCATCATATGCGTCGAAGTTTCTTGGGGTTGTGGTTTATTTGAGGTTTGAGATAGTGGTTGGTGGAGAAGGATTTGAACTTTGAAGGAGATTGAGGTACATATTATCTTGAGAATATTTGTTTGTGTGGCTTCTCTCATGTTTTACTTTTATTTTATTTAAATCTTGGACATATTTGGCGAAGTTTTTTAGAAACATTTTCTATTTCCTAACCTTCAAAATATAGAGAACTATACGGAATAAAAATCATAGTTGAAATTTTTTTCATTTATTATTCTTTGAAATTGAGAGTTTATATTTTATAAATTTAAGTTCTTTTTAAAGTTAAGCTTCTAACCCTGATTGAAAGTGCCCTAAGCTTCTAACCCTGACATCCTATCACAGCTTGGTCGGACTAGGTCTAGCCTAACAATGAAATCAACAAAGTAACCTATCGTTGGACAGCCAATAAGTGAAGTTCTTTATGTGGTCTTTGGTTCAGGGAAGCATTTTGACCAATGATGTTTTTCAAAAGAGGAGGCCTAATCGCTCTCTGTCCTCAATGGTGCATGTAAGGGCGATGGGGAGTCTTTGAATCATTTGGTGGCGTTGAGTCTATGGCAGTGATTCTTCTTTTTGGGTGATTTTGCGTAGGTGTCTCTTGAAGCAAGTATGCTAGTGCTCTTAATTGACTTCCAAGCTTTTGGTGTCTAGAAAAAGGCTAAGGTGTTGTGACTTTGTGCAGTGTTTGCGATTTTCTAGGTCATTTGGTTGGAAAGAAACACAAGGATCTTCAAATGCCAAGTTCGCGGATTTGAATTCTTTTTGGGCTTTGGCATCGTTTTGGGCCCCGTTCAAAGAGACTTCGCTTTTCTTGATTTCTAGTGATTGGAAGTTTGTGTGTGACTCTTAGATGATCTGAGTTTCTTTTCTTGTTTTCTGTTTTGAGGACTCCTTGTCCTCCCTTGTACCTCTTTTTTTCTTTTTTCAATAAAATTTCGTTTTGGCTTAACAACTCATCCCAACTCAACTTAACAAGTCTTAATACCAATATTTGGCTTCCGTTGCATGGATCCATACCCATTGTCAGATGAATGCAATATAATATATTTTTTTTAATGCCTCTCCTTTTTGTCCTTTCAGACAAGATATAAACTAAAAGAAACAGAAATCACCATCAAAATCGTAGATATGAACTATGCAGTCATTTTCAATCTCCTTCATCGTGAAGTTCAGTTCCTTGGCTGTTGTTTTCAATCCAAGTGCCTTTCATGATGTCTGAGCTTTCTAACCAAGATTGTGATTAGCTGTTTCCGCTGGATTGCTATACACGTCCGCTTAATCCTATCATGGAGCTACTTGGGGCTAGGAATACTTTCAATAAATACTTAGTGCTAGAGATGGATGGAGCTTGTCATGAACAAGAGAGAGGTCTGAATTTGATTGTAGGAAGCTGTTAATGTCTTTTGTATATCAGAGTACTTAAGGAAACTATACAATAGGGGTTTTATAGTAAGTTAACTTACTGGGGGAGGGTTGAAGCATGTCTATCTCACCTGGCTGCTGAACTAGGGTGTCATATTAGTTTTTATTCCTGAACAAGCCACCAAATTGCTTAAATTGTTCCAAACCCCTCTGAATAGAGGGTTATGGAGAACATTGTTTTGATTCCTATTCCCAATTATAATGAGATTTGCACCGCTGGGTTTTGGATTTCTAGTAAAAAATACTGAATGACTGTAGTTTTTGGTTTTCAAAATTTCCATTATACACATTCTAGGTAATTCTTTTTGAAAGTTGAAACAGATAGGCTCTCTGATTTATGTGTGCTCTTCGCAAATTGAACTTTATATGCTTGTGCAGATTATTTTCTTATTTATTAACCCCGTGTGTGTAATGTTGGATTTTAATTATATCTGCTGATTATGCATATAATTTTAATATGGATTTCATTTCTCATCATTTTCATTTTCTGTGATATCTTGTTCAGATTTTTAAATATTTCTCCTTTTCTTTTTTTATTATCTTCTCCTTTCTAATCTGAAATTTTGTTGATGCTATTTCATTGAGGATCTATTGGGATTAAATTATCTTGGAATGCTAGTAGCGTTGCTACCATATGGATTTTTACTATGGCTTCTTTTTTTTTCCTCCTTGGATTCAGAAGTTATTTAATCTCATATAGATTTATGTGCAGGCATGGTGTATTTTCTTTATTTTTCAAGTAGGCAAAAGCCTTTGTATTTGGCAAACTTCTCTCTCTCTCTATATATATATATGTTTGTCTGACATAATAATATATTGAGAACTTCGAATGGGTTGGCTTCATCTTTTACTTCTCAAATTTGTAGGGAATTGAAATGCTGTCGCTTGGATCATTTAAGACTGGTGCCATCCTACTGGTAAGAAATAGAATCTATGGATTTATTTATTAATGTTATTTTCCTAATAGGATAACCAGAGACATCTTAGTCTTTATATGTATCTCTGGAACTTGACAACCAGCAAGCTAAAAACTGTTATATAATCTTGTTACCCTTTCTTTGAACTTTCACATGACAGCATTAAAAGTGTGTGGTTTTATGAAAAACCTATAAGTGAAGAAGCCAACTAAGCTTCGAACACTTTGCTGAAGATTTTCACAATATGACTACACCAAATTACGACAAAATATGTTGTACCTTCTTCTTGTTTGCCCTTTTTAGTTTGTTTTTGTTTTTTCTTTTCCTTTATTTCCTTCTTTCCTTTAGGACGTACTTATGTGTTCTTGCTAGATCATAATGCTTTTAGCTCTATTTCTTCTCCTTTTTTTCAATAAATTTCTTTATGTTGCCGATCAAAAATTGATGGTTTTAGCTCTACATCAGTATGTTTACATTTTTGTTCCCTAAACTGAGGTAGGTATACATGATGACAAGATAGCCTCCAAGTTATAAACTTGGGTTTCACATGAACTTGGGTCTGCTTTGATCCTTCGAATAATATCCATAGAGTTCATATGAAGCGATAGCCTCCACAAAATGCAGTTCTTTACATCTCAATATTTGCAATTCTAACCATCCATTACTTGGTGAACTGAATGCACCGCAACCCAAGACAAACTAAACTAGTTAACTCAGTCCTACAATTACTCTACTATTCTGGCCTTATGAGTTCATTCCGACAACTTTCTAAGAGATATGCCTTTATAAGGACACCCCTCAATACACCTTTCTTGAAGTTGGGGGAAGAGCAAGAGAAATGCACAATGCATTTGGTTAGTGTCGGGTTATCGGCTTCATTATGCCTAATTTTCATTTATTTATTTATTTATTTATTTATTTTTTTTTTTTGAGAGAAGAAAAGATTACTTCATTTTTTTAGGTAGTCATGAGAACTTTCTAGGGGTTCACCATCTTATTACTACTTTTTGATCAAAGAATGCATATATTGTCAAAAGTTGAGAGACTATTCATTCATCATCACCAGCGTTTCCCTGGCATATCATTGTCGCTCATCCTCCATCGCTCATCTTGACCTTAAATATTCTCTTCTATGTAAAGCAAGAAGCATGATGTTCTCTCTGTTTGCACGTGCTTGTCACTCTTATCAATATGTTCTTTCATGCTGTAATGTGATATTGTTCTTGCTACTGAACATGGGTGTTGGAGGTTGAAAGTGAATATCTGGATTTGGCAGGTTAAAACAGTAAGGAAAAGGTTTGTGAGTGCTCAATTGGGGAAAACATAAGCCCATATGTAGTCTTTGCTCCCAAACTTGTGCTTTTTTCTTTGTTCTCTCATTTTTTTTTTTAATCGCAGATCCATATCAAGCCATTCCGACTTCTGTTATTTTTGAAAACTAAAAAAGAAGAAGAAACAGAATGTTAAAATCTTATTGTGACAAACACAACCTTGTGATGTGACAAATCTATTGCTTTTGACACATCTTTTTATCGCATTTCATTCTCATTTTTAAAAAAAAATGTTTTAGAAGAATAAAATTCAAATATGTGAAAGGAAGGGATTTTTTTTCTTCTCCTCTTTGTTTTTCTGGAAGTACCTTTTTTAAATTTAAAGATATGTGAATTATCTTTTACTTCTAACCAATTCATTGTGAGAGAAAAAAAATGAAAACAAACCATATGGCTTTCTCTTGAAATGAGGGAACTGGCTTTCTTCTGAAAAGCTGAACATTAATTTCTAATTTTTGTTTGATTCTTGGGTGTTTTCTCCGTCTAAATCGGAGTCAATGATTTGTTCCTTGAGTGTTTACATGAATCAGACATGATTTTGACCAGTAACGTGGGTTTTCCCACTTTTGTTGCTTTTTTTCCCCTTTGCTTTTGATTAATAAATTTTACATGCTTTAACCATATGTTGCCTTCTTAGTATTCAATTTCCGTAAGTAATTGTTGCCAAAATATTGAGACCGTTGCAAAAGAAATAGAGTATCTTGACACCTTTCCAACTTTTGTCATGTTGGCCTTACTACTGTTGTGTTTCCTTTCAGTTTGCTGCACCGGTTTGTGGACTGTGGATTGTCCATATCAGAGTACATTATACATAACATGTGCATTCAACCCTGTCTAGTCTTTATCATTATTGTCTGCTTTTCTTTAATTTTTATTCCTTTTTCATTTCATTTTTTTTTTTTTTTTTTGTTTCATTTTCTCCCTCCCCTTCCCCTCCCTTTTGGTCTCAGATGGAGGTGTTGAGGTGATATAGGGTATTTTTGCAGAAAGACTAACACAACCTCTTCAGAAGATGACTTACTAAAAAGACTGGTTGCATATAATATTTAGATTTTGTAGGGTGTTCAGTGCTAATTTGGCTCTCTCCCAATGCTAGTTTATGCACTCAGTGGATTCATGTTTTGTCTGATTCTTTTCTGCTAAAAAAACTGCAGGCTGGGCTTTTTGTCTATGATATTTTCTGGGTTTTCTTTACCCCAGTGATGGTTAGTGTTGCAAAATCTTTCGATGCTCCTATAAAGGTCAGTATGTCAGGATAATTGAAATGTATATATATATTTTTTAAATTCCTATTTGGATCCCCAAGTTTGTTGTGCTGTATTGTTCTGATTGTGATTTTTAATTCTCTGCAGCTTTTATTCCCAACAGGAGATTCTGCACGTCCATTTTCGATGCTTGGACTTGGAGACATAGTAATTCCAGGTGTGATGTTCAAGTTGAATTAAAAAAAAATCTATTTCCCTGAATGTTGGCCATGATTAGTTCTGCTTCTGCTACCTGATAAATTTTAAGAGTTTGTTGTCAGGCAGTGTGAAGTTACAGGGCATTTGTTGTTGTAAATTTAGTTAATCTCACATTCTTTTCAACAAATTGGAGTAACCCTGTCATCTGGATTTGTTTATATATAAATTTTAAAGCATATGTGCCTTAATCATTAAATGTAGTTAGATCATTGTTTTCCAATGCTGTGCATGATATGCTTGGAATTCATGCCCTTTTCATGTCACATTTCTTTAGCTTCACTGCTTGAGGCGCACACTATTTTTTAGGCATGTCTACTGCATGCAATTATGATTTGGATTATGAGCACTTGTACCATTGTTTGTTCTGATTTTGTTATGGAATTTCTATCAACATCCCCTCGTGCTGTGGCATTCTTTGATAGAATGTAGTTTACAAGGAGATTAAGTATAGAACATGGACTGCCATTTCATTGACTTATATGTGAGAAGAAAGTCGGGGCTTCAGGTTCCCCGATTCTGATTGTTGACGGTAGGCGCTGATTATGTAAGATGTGCATATCATTAGAATTATTTCTCTTTTGACTATGACTTGGCAGTAGCAATCAACGCAAGTAAAAATCACCAAGAGGCTGGCATGATTTTCCCTGTACGAGAGAAGCCACGGAAAATCCCCTCCATCCTGTAACATAGGGGAAAAAACTTTCCCCTGAATCATGAAAATTATATATATTACTGATGATAATTTTTTATTTGGGGCTTTCCTGTTTTTGATTTCTTGGTGCATACTCTTACTTGCTAATGGTTCTATTATATAATCATATGCATTATGTGTCCTAATCTCTGAAACTTACACACTGGGTGTTGTATATTCTCTGAAACTTACACTCTAGGTGTTGTATATTCTCACACGCCCTTTTCTCCTTCAGGCATTTTTGTAGCATTGGCATTGCGTTTCGATGTGTCTAGGAGGAAAGAGAGCCAGTATTTCAAGAGTGCTTTTCTGGGATATACTGCTGGTTTGGTCCTTACTATTATTGTCATGAATTGGTTTCAAGCTGCACAGGTGTGTATCACTCTTTTCTTTTTGCTGTAATGATACATATATACATACATGCATGTATGTAAATAAACAAAAGAATAAATTTATTGAGCAATGTTACATCCACCAAATTTTGGCTTGCCTGAATCGCCTGAATTTGTGCATGCTGGTCGTTCGGCAACAAAGGTGACAGCTGCGCTTGACAAGGGTTGCACCGGTTGTCCGGGTAGTTGATTGACATGCACAAATTTGGGCGATTCGGGCAAACTCAAATTCGGTGGATAAATTATTTTTGATACATATACCCGGCAATTACCCTAGCCGGGGAAAGTTTAATTTTTTTTCTATTTTTTAATGTGCTCATTTCTTTATCCATCTTTAACTCTTCTTCTATGATGTATATTCTTTCATTTCACTTTCAGCCTGCACTACTATATATAGTACCAGCTGTTATTGGGTTTTTGGCAGCTCATTGCATATGGAATGGTGATGTCAAACAGGTTTGTCTGTATTACCCATCTTATGATTTTTTTATTGTTGTTGATCAAAAGAAAAAAAGAAGAAATAATATATTTATCAAAAATAAAAATAAAAATAAAAATAAGTAAATAAAGGCAAATGTATTATTATAAACATAATTGCCGAAAGTTTACTTAATTTGAATTGATGTATTTCCAACCGCTGCCAGCAAACTTGTAGCTCTTGGACAAGTTTTGAGATGTTTTGTGTGCTTGATACTTGATTGAATTCTTTACTTACAACTCTGTTATCATTTGTAGTTGTTGGAATTTGATGAGTCCAAGACTGCATCCGAAGATTGCGTTGATAAATCCGTTGATAAATCGAGCAAGAAAGTGGAGTGAGTGAGGTGAAGTGCTGTTACAAAGGAAAACCATTGCTACTTGGTTAAAAAATACAGTTATTTCAGTCAGGAACCGAAAATGCCTTAAAAAGTTCATTCATTTTCTAGCTTGTGCGACTGCACTAACGAGGTTGTAACAGAGTGAGGTTGTAACAGAGTTTTGAATTAAGAGTTTAATAAAAAACAGATGACCAGTTCAGATTTTTATGTTTCTCTCGGGTATTGACAGCCTCATCCAATTTGCAACTTGCTATTTTTCATTTTTTTCCCTCCTTTCCTTTGTCCTAAAAGTATTTAAGACTTTCAAAGTTTACCTTGATAGTGAAATTATTTTCCTGAAAATGTTTGAATGTAATTTGTGCCTCCAAAATGGTAATTTGTGATCCCGGGCAATTAAAAAGTCTCTTTAATTTGCTTTTATAGTTTTTCAAATTGGGCTATTTAAAACTCTGTAATTTTTGAAAATTGATTTTTTGTTTTTTATATTATATTATATATATATATATGGGTAAATTACAAACAACTAACAAATATAGATTTTTTAATTTTTAGTAGAAAATGACAAAAATGCCCTTGACTCTTATATGTATAATAATAAAATAATAATTTTTTTTTGAAATTTTCTCTAGTCTTCAAATCCTCTCTACTTGTAAATACTCCGTCAGTAAGGTTATTGAATCATGACCTTGGAGCATTTAGATAATCCTCCAACACTCCACAACCACCTCCTCCCCCATCACCAAAAATCCAAATCCCACCACCCCGAACTCTACAATAAAGACCTCTTGCCTAGTCAACAAGTTTGACATGTTCATTGAAGGAGCCAACAAGACCGCCACTTAATCATCATTGTTTCGAGACCTCAATCTTTGATGGGGTTCAATACCATGCAATCGTGTGTGAGATTTACTGGAAGAGATAATTGTAACTAGAGAAAAAGAGGAAGAGACAAGGTTATGGATAAAATGGGTGTGTTCGATAAAACTTTCCAATCACAATTCTATCCATTCATGTGAACAAAGCATTTGGATGGAGTTTTCAAAAATTAATTTTACCACACATTTCAAAAAATATTTCTATTTCACGTTTGACAAAACTCCTTTCAAAACAAACTTCCAAGCCAAAGCTCTTACCTTTTCATACAGTTTTTGAATTTTTTAGTCTACCCGATCGTCCCGCCGGACATCCTCCCAAATGTCTGGCCAGTTGACTGCTACAGTGATTTTTTTTTTTTTAATCTTTTGGTGGCAATTGCCAAAACAGCTCTATTTGGTCTTCTTGTTTTACACCGATATCATCTGCCAATATATAGAGTGAATTTGTAAATTATGAAATTAATTATGAAGATGGTGAAGTTGCTGGTTGTTCAGCCTCTAATATAAAAGTTGGTGGCTGAATAGATGATATAAATGATGAAGTACATGAAGGATGCATTTCTCACGGAATTGATGAAAATCATCAAATAAAAAAATTTGAATAAAATTGAATTGTGTGTGGTAAACTACATAGATGCTAACAAAATGATGTTCTAATTTTTTATTTTCATTTTTTTGACTCCCACATAGATAATACCTGATAATTTTTTTGGCCATTTATTTGAAAATAACAATACAATAAATAGCAAATAATTTGTGACAGTAATCATTAAAAATATAAAAAGATTTTAACTAAAAAATATTAAAAAAAAGTAATTCAAATCAAATATACAATCAAAAGTTATTTTAAATGTGTGATTGAATATTTATTTTTAAAAAAATTTATTTCCTTTGTAATATTTTCAATTAAAAAAATTGATTAATGTTATTTTCTGTTAATAATTAATTTTTTTAATTGAATTTTAAAAAGAGTTTGCTTATGAGTGTTGATCAAATTTTTTAATAGAGTTCTGAGTAGTGTGTTCAGTTATGAGTTATAACAATTTAAATTAAGTTTTGAAAATTCTTTCCAAAACTCATAATCAAATAAATTTTCTTATTTCACATGTCACATCAAACATTAAAAACTCAACTCAACACTCAACTCAAAACTCAATTCAAAACTTATAACCAAACAAATTTTTCACACTCAAATCATAATTCCAAAACTCACAAACTCAAAATATAACTCTATTCTCAAATCATATTTGTAAAACTCTATCAAATGCTACCAAACTTGTTGACATCTTCCAATTGTGTTTGTTGACATAATGATTGACTAAGGGAGGGGGAAAATTGTAATATGACATTAACTCTCATGAGGTAAGACGTAATTTTCAAAATCACTGGGCTAATACTCAATTTATTTATTTTTATTTAATTCAATTTTTCATATTTCGTTAAATTTACCAAAATGCCCTTATAAAAGTTAAATTACGAATGTTGTTATTAACACCCCATCAATTATTTTGGATCTCTCATTTCTTTAGACCCCCACTTATAGATTGTAAAACCCTTAAATTTTGTTTTCTTCCCCCAAATAATACAAAAATTATCCTTGTAAAAACATTTCACCCATTCAAATGCACACCCTCACACCCCAGAAAGCTTATATTCCAAAACCCTAACAAAACCCACGACAGTGGAACCTCCCAAAACGAGTGGAAAAAATTTGTGTGATTAAGAAGTTTTTTCTCTACTTTATTACAAGGTTTGTCAATCTGTTTGAATTTTTTTTTTTCTATCACCTATTTTCACACTCACACAACACCACTTTCATGCTTCTTTAGTTGGTTTTTTGTCATTCATCCATAACCTCACTGTACTTGTATGCTCTTTGTGTAAACAAAACTGGGCAGGATTTCATCCCTCGATCGACCACCCAAGGGTGGTCCAACCTCTTTTGTTTGCCTACTTCTACTACTGTTTTGGTTATCTGTTCTCAAACAAATAAGACATGTTCGGTTACCTTTTCCTGAACAAATAAACAATGTTTAGGCCAGTGTTCCGGAATTTTCGGTCATATATTCAGGAGTTCAGTCCCTGAAAAAATAACGAACAATTTTTATTATTTTTGCTATTTTTTTCAAGAAATTTACTCTTATAAGGCCAATCTCCTCTGAACTAAGAACACCATTAAAGTTATGAACCTTTTATATGCTTTTATTGTTATACTTCTCTCGTCTCATGGAGTTGTGGTTGTCGGAGAAACTCACTCATTGTCATTGTCAGAGAAGTATATGTAATCAAATGATTGCTACCATTGTTGTCGGAATATTACCGCCAAAGGATTTTTAAGGTTTTGAGGGTCGGTAAGTTTTGAAAGTGGGATTTGGGGAAGATGGATGGGTGGTGATGGACTTGGGTGCTCTTATAAATCCTAACTCATATGCAGTAGGTATGTGGGCTTAATTGTGAGATGCGGTATCCCAAAATCATTGATGTCCCTTTTAGTAATTTCACATGAGGTTATTATTGTAATTAAAAAAAGATAAAAAAATGAGGGATCCAAAATAATTGATGGGGTGCTAATAGTAGCACTCTAAATTACTGATTTTTCCTTATGGCTAAATTACCATAATACTCTTAGTGTCAAAATTATCAATACGCCTTCCAGGCTAATTTTACCAAAGTACTCTTTGGTGACAAGTTTGCTATTTCCTAGGGTAATTTTACTTACACTACTTTTTAAACTCATTACACCCTTCAATTTTAATTTTTTTAATTACATTTCAATCCTTATATAAAATTACTAAAATATCCTTCTACCTTAAAATTTGAAAACCCTAATTTTTCATTACACATTACCCCATCACCACAACCTCTACCAACTCACTATTGCCACCGCCCCACCATTGCCATCGCCCCTTTGCCACCGACCAGCCCTTTACCACTAGCCGCAGCCACCCAGTCCCTCACTTCAATAGTTATAGCCACCCAACGCCTCACCACCAATCATCGCTATATCCATCTCACTCTGCCACCCCGAACCCTTCTCTATCGCCTCCATTCTCTACCACAAAGCCCCTCTTCTCCTCACCTTGTCATCCCTAACCTTTTTCCATTGCCTACATCTCTCGTCACTGCCTTCTCCCCATTCTCCTTTTTCTTCTAGATCTGAAAACCTTAGGTTTTAATCTCTCTCTCTCTCTCTCATAGTGGATGGGGAGGTCACGATGGCAGTGGATAGTGGTGGTGGAAATGCAGTTATGAAAGTGTTATAGGAGGGGGTGGTTGCGGCAGTGGTAATGGTCGTGGCGATGGAGCAACAGAGGGAGAGAGAAAAAGCAGAAGATGAAGGAAGTGGAAGGAGTCAGATCTGGGGAGTTGGGAAGGATGATCGGAGATGGCGAATGAGGGAGGTCGCTAGTGGGGTGGGTCTAGATGTTGGAGTTGAAAATGGTAATTGTGGTTGCCGAAGGTGGTGTTTAGGGGGTGGGATAAAGTTAGGGTTTGTTAGGTTGGAAGTGAAAGGATGAAGGCTATGATGGGTATTATGGGGATTATAAAGAAAGAATTGAATTTTTGTATGTTGTGTAATGAGAAATTGAGTGTAAAGAGAATTCTTTGTTGTGTAAATAGAATTATGAATTACCCTTACCCCTATGGATCAAATTACCAATTTATCCATCCTTTCAAATTTCCATATTAACTCTATGTGTCAAAAGGACCATTTTAATCCCAGCAAAAATCATATTTTAATATACTAAACATGCTTATAAGCATGTAGGGTATGAAACATCATCATAATACCTCTAACTAGCAAAACTAATAAGCAAATATACGTTCGAGAATTCATAAAAATTTCAATACACATCCAAATCATGCTATCTCTACTCTAAACAATTGCCATCTGTCAAAAAATCACATTTTTTTATTTTTATTTTTATCTACACTTTCTTTGATCTTTTTTCCTTTTTATCAAAATTAGCCCAAAAGTACAGGTATATCAAAACAATTATCGAGCTTCCTAGAGCACACTTTAAGGTTCTAAACACAAACATCCATTTATAATATGAAATCATATTTTGAGAAAATAAGCCTTAATATGCTCTTTCTAGGAATTTCAAGCCAAATATTCAAGAGAGCTACAAATCATGAAAAAAGATAGGAACAAGATGGAAAATCATGGAGATAAGCATAAAATCAATTACAAGCTTAAACATGGATTATGTAATAAATTAAACCCTAACATAATCCTATATACACATAGTAAAAGAAATCCCCGCATTAAAGTTCTTAGAGCTGGGAAATAGAGAAACAATGGAGAGAAAGGTTCAAGCAAGCATCAAGCTCC